CGTATAAACTAGATGTACCGGTAAAGTAAGGGCATCTGACGAACAAATGGACTCTTTCTAGGAAGGATTCCGGAAACGAGGCCTGCCTCTGTGGTGTCAGGGGCTCACTGTCTGAGAGACAGAAAGAGGATAATGTGAAGCAGAGAACTCTCCTGCTACTTCATCGATTTTGGTTTTGCTCTGGCAAATCTTGCACAGCAAACCCCAACATCTGTCCGGCTGTCATTCCGATTAAAATAAAACCCGTAGCTCTTTTGTTGCACCACGGAGGGTAACTGTCGTTTACTGTACTGTATTTCACCAGACGCTCCGTGGCTCTGCGAGTGAATGGCTGTTCTCCAGACGACGAGTGCTGCAATCTCCTACTCCTTGCTGTGCTTACAAGCGGTATAACTCTTTCAGCTGAGCAGCACGGTCAGCCAATTTCACTCCACTTGTCAGGTCCCATCTCCGAGAATGATTGACAGCCTCCCGACTGCTTCTGAACACTAATTCTGGTACCCAGCTACTATAGCGAGTTATGAGTGGTTTATGAGTATGGCCCCTGACCCATATCTTTTAGTAGTATCTCACTGATCTCTGTCTGCACCTCTTTCTTGTCATTCACATAAAACATGTACAGCAGCCTGGCCTGCAGATGCCCAGGGAAGTTTGCACTGATGTTTCTTTTTTTGAAAAAAAAGACAGCGTCGCCTTAAAGGAGCCTACAGTATGTAAAACCCTGAGCATCATTCATGTAAACGACCAGCAGAGATGAAGTGCTTTATTCCTGGAACTGGAGGACTCTGTGCTCTTGGGAGTTTAGCAGAATTTTTTTTATTATTATTATTTCTGTTTTCAGGAGGTTGTAGGGCACAGCAGTCCAATAGGCGAGAAGGCAGCTCGTGGTTATTTATGACACGCACGCAGAATCCAATTGGAAATATGTCACTGATGGGGTGTAAAAGGACTCTGAGGGGGTTCAGACATGAAATGCCTATACTTGTTAATGAAATATGTATGAAATGAGGGCAGACAAAATTGAGACAATAGAAACACGGAGACTTACACCATACCCTTTTCCCTGTTTTTGTGGCAAGTTTTCAAATTTCCATACAGCCAGGAAGTTTTTCATCAATTAAAATCACTGCTGGGACATTGCAGAACTGAGGAACAGAGGGTTGTGATTCTGTTCTGTTCTGGAAGATACCCGTTTAGGTGGCGCTGAATGGAAAAGCAGCAACATGGATAAGTGGTTAGGGCTCTGGAAGGTCACGGGTTCGACTCCCTGGTGGGACACTGCTGATGTACCCTTGAGAGCAGTGCTTCCCTCAGATTGCTCCAGTAAATCACCCTACGGTATTAAATGGGTCTCTAGGTCATTTATGTAAATGAGAATTTGTTCCGCATAAATAAAAAATAAAAAAGAGAGCAAGACTTACTGTGCTTATTGCCAAAGAATGAAAAAAAGAGGAAGTTGAGAGACGGTTTGCTTTTAGGGTAATAAAAAAATCTGGCTTTCTGGTGCTTTTGTTTATCTCTTTTAAATTACCTGTTAGATGGGTGTGTACATTTTTGAGAGTTTGTGAGATCATGCTTAAAAAATGTAATGAAAAACATTTTCATGTCATGACACATCAAAACCTGATTTTACATTATGATCTGAATTTTTATATCAAACTATGCAGTCTCCAAACACGTACATGTGCACTGTTCTGTTTTTTTTTGCTCCATCTTGCTCAAACCAGATCTCAGAAACATCATATTAGAGTGAATACTTTTTTAAAAACAAAAACAGGGAGAAATGGGGAAAAAACAATATAAAAAGATGAATGCATTTGCTGTCTTCTAGTGCTAAAATGTTTTAGAAATATTTCACACAAGAACTTTAGGTAGATAACCTTTTTCATGCATTATATATATTAAGATTTATAATACACACTTTATGCTATGAGGAACATTGACTGTACTGTTCAAGCAATGACTGCAGTTGAATTTGAACCCTGGAAAGTGGATTCAAACTCAGGGTGAGATGTTGCTGTATTTGACTGCATTTGCAGACCCACAGAAGTCCTGCTGAATTGGCACCCTGCCTGGCACAGAGTGAGATGCACCAAAATGTGTGACCTGAAGCCTTGTGCTCCAGCCATACCTCCTTGCTGGATGCAGTCCATAAGGATTTTGTTCCAGACAGAGGAAACCCATTGCATTTGAACCTTGGAAAAAAAGACATTTCAAATTCCACCTGATATCCTGTATTATTTGTCAAAATAAAGCTGATTAGCCAGGCTTTTTACGCAGCAGAGGAAAACACCCGAAAGCAACTCATTCAATGGAAAAACAAGTATCCCTCTCAATGCAATATTAACACATTACCTTTCCCTTCTTGAATTTAGCTGGACCTGTAGGTGTCCAACATGCAATTCAGCCTCCCCAGCCGACGTTTCCTCGACTTGGGTGTACTGAGTTTTTGGTAGATGTGATGGCTGTGGCGCTGGCCGATCACTGCCAGCTTGTACCACACTGTGGTGTATATCAAGACCGAGCCTCTGTCAAAGCTACTGTAGAAGTCGCCGTTTCTCGTTAAAAAAAAAAGCATCTGAATAGCACGAAAGAGCATGCATCTGCCCTTTTTTTTAGAAAAAGAGCCATTGTGGGACTGTAGTTGTTCAGTCTGGCATCTAAACAGCAGTCGTTTTCACTCTCAGACAGCTGTTTTCCTCATACATGTGGAATATAATTTCATTGTTATTTTGTGCTTGGGAAACAGCAGCTGTTGCACGCAAGTCGTCCAGAAGCACAAGTTTAGAACAAAGTGAAGAGAGAAAAAAAATGTCGATGATGAATAATGAAACTGCTTAATTTACTTCAAATGAAACATATTGAGCCTTTACTGTACTCATGGAGCTGTGACTCTGTTTTTGTCAGTTCATTTAAGCATTTAAGAGTGCACTTATAACTTCACATCTCCTTTTGTGGGATCCCACAACTTATCTATACTTGCTAGATGAAGTGTTTTTTTTTACCATGAAAATTACAAGACCAGGAGACCAACCCTTTTAATTAATTTTAAAAAATTATTCTTCCAAATTTTCAGTCTTGCAATTTATTGTTTATGCAACTGTGAAGGGTTCTGACTGCTTCATTTGGACCTTTCATGTCTGTCATAGGTTTCAGTTTCCCAAGCACAAGCTCACACTTGAGTTTCTGACCCATATGAACAGAAACCCTTGCACACAAACCCAAGTCCAAACAGTGGCTTTCTAGGAACAGAGCCTTCCAAGCGAGCTAAGAGAATTAAAGGGAGACTGACCGACAATGACTGGCTCTCTCTTTGAGCTGTTAGAATACACAGGGACATCAAAGGCAAGTTCTGTTGTCACAAGCAGTGTCTAAAGAGGCTTCACTCTCCGCAGACAATCTGAACACGTCTATGAAAAGACAGTTTGTTTTAGCCCTGGTGGGGAATGCAGAAGTCTACAAATGTGAACCTTTTGGAAAAGGGGGGATTCACTAAAACGTCCTTGCAGAGTTCCTCAAAACCCCCCACTTCAATCACTAGGCCTTACAAAGATTGTGTAGATTTCTATCAAAGTCTTTTATTTCCAGTGGAGTACATGGGCCCCTGGTAATGAGACTGTTTTCAACTCTGAAGCACAGTTTTCTCTTGGAAGGAGAGCATGCAGTGATATAAAACATAGTCAGAGCTCAGTGTACTTTCATCACTCTCAACGAGCAGCTGGATTTGTGACATTGATAGTTTTTTTTGCTCTCGAAACATTGGATGTAGAAGTGTTAAAAAGATGTTCAGTAAATAAGGGCAGTTCGATTTATGGGAGAACTTGCCATGTTAATGAGAAAGCTCAGGCTATCCTTCTAGACTTGAGGCAGCTTTGACTTAACAGATGTCACCTGTTTTGCTGAGAGCAGTTTTCCTTTAAGCTGCTGTCCCGAATTGACATGACAGATTTCCCCAGTAAAGCGCAAAGCATCAGCTTCATCCTGATGATGTTTTTCCTGGAATTGTTTTGTTCCAGCAGCATAAAGGCCTTAGAAATGAGTACCGGTAGATGGGACATCTAGGTTAACTCTGTGTACCTGCTGATATTCTTCAGAAATGTTCAATTGATGTCTTTCTAAAAGGTAATCAGAAATGTGGGAACCTGAGGTAAATTGAATCACAATGGCATTGATGTGTAGTGGATGGTTAACATTTGGCTTCTGGTGTCACTCAGGGGCCAAGGTTTAATATGACTGTCAATCCACTGTAACTGTCTCCTCTATAGCTCACTAACAGCGTTGTCTAAGACTCAAAGAGCTAAATTGTTGGGCTTCATGTGTAGTTTTGTCAGATCTCTGAAGACCAAGACTAGAAACTTTTTAAAGAAGTGGCTAATCAGGGTGGAGCAGGGCCTTGTCAACTTTTGAAATAAAGAGAAATCTGGACACAATCAAAATCACATTGAGTGTCTCCTTGACACCTGACCAAAAACACGACATTACTATATCATCTATGCTTTGGGTGGCAGGAGATCTCATAATGATACGGGTGTAGCTAAAGCAAATAAGAAAAAAAGACTAAAGTTTGTAGGAACAGGCTGTTATTCAAAGCAGAAAAGGTTTGGAGACCGAACAACATTTGCTTAAAACAATAATGCCTGTGTCTATGTATTTGTTTGATTTGTCAGCTGCTTCACTGAAATAAAAAAAATGTATGTTTGCTTTGAATTTATTTTAAGAAGTCCTAACCTTGTTTTCCAGGAGTCATAAGCCTCCAGAGTGTGATTTTCTGCTGTTTCACAAAACTCCAGGAGAGGGGCAGAGTATTCTTTCAATCGGTATTTGTAACGCGGCTGCTCATACAGATCCCCATGTCGAGAAGCCTGGCTTGGGCTCCTTTTTTCTGTCTTATACTCTTGCTTCCATTACAAAGCTGGTGCTACTGCTTGTTTGGGTTCTGATTGCATGGCCTCCCTGGGAGTCAGACAAGCTGACGTCTTTGTACTCTCTCATCCTGTTAGGGCCCGACAGGCCAGCTTTCACCAGAGTGTCCTCCTGCCGTTCTCATGAGAGCGAGAGTCTAGCGCGCTGGCGAAGCTGCGGTGCGAATGAGACACTGCAAGGGCGCTGAGGCTCAGTACTCCGGAAGGTAAGGCAGTCTTCTGTCTCTTGACACTTCATCTTAGTCTGATGAGGACTGATGAGGACGGGATACTCTCTTCAGAGGTCCGTCATCAGGCTAGATCAATTGATTATCATTTGAAAAAGACAAATACCACCAAGAATAGCCAAGTGATCTAGCATCCTGTCTCTTTGCCACTTCCTGATGAAGGGGCACCAGTAAAACCAGTACAGATTATAGAAAAATCCCAATCTCCAAACAGGTAACAGTATGTGTAAAAGCTCTGTATTGAATTCCCTTAATTATCTGTACTGCGCTCAAGCTTTGATGCTCCGGATACAGAACACATGGGGCACATTCACGTTTTACAGATTTTAAAAGGAATGACTCAAAATCAATCAAACAGAAGGAAAAGGAAGTGCAAGTTGTCTTTTCTATAACTCAGAATATAAAGGTATAACATACAAGTAAATTTGTAAAATGTTTTCAGCTGGTGACTCATACAGTGGGTGTCACAGTGGCACAGTGGTGAGCATTGCAGACCCGGGTTCAATTCCAGACCAGGGGTGCTGTTTGCGTGAAGTTTGTATGTTCTCCCCGTGTTTGCGTGGGTTCCCCTGGGTGCTCTGGCTTCCCCCCAGAGTCCTAAGACACATCGGTGGGTTAATTGGTTTCTAGGAAAGCTGGCCGTGGTGTGTGTGTGTCTGTGTGTGGCCTGTGATGGTCTTGTACTCATTGCTTGCTGAGATAGGCTCCGGCTCTCCTATGGCCCTGTATTGGATAAAGCAGTTGGAAAATGGATAGATGCATCCATACATTATCTTGGAAACTGCCTAGTACACATTGCAGATTGGGCTTGAAGCACTGAAGTCTGCTAAACAAGTTAAGTGCAAAGCTTGCTTTGCTTACTGGACAATTAATGCCATACCTAAAGAATGGATCAGGTTTATTGGATCGCTTCTGTATCATGTGCCCTGTGAATTCTGATAATGTTGTTTCTATTTTCACAAAGTGTAAACCATGGGGCAAAGGAGCTCTGATGCGACACCAGTTACTGAATGCAATTTCTAAATTGCACCTCTGGAACACAAAACAACTTAATTGTTTCGCACTTTATACACTAGCAGTGCACACAAGTCATGATGCCCCCAAGGCCTGCATTAATTAAACAATGAAAACTCAAGAGGAAGTGCTGTTAAGCAGGTGTCTGTAGGCCCAGGCAGAGGACATGCTTTGAAAAACCTTTGTTTCTTGAACACACAGACGCACAAACTGATTTCCCTAGAATTGTACTTTATTCATTTGGCTAAAACACTGTCCTAGGGCGAATTTGGGGTTATTTTTTCTTGCAAATCAACAATTACCTTTAATGGTACCTGGTTACTAAGGTACTTTATTTGCTTTATTCTGAACGCAGGCCTACTGACAGCCTTCTGAATATATACATTTTTTAAACCACTGTCTTTATAACCTGGCCTCATTTGTATCAAGAACAAGCCTACTGTCAGTGATCGGATGTTGTTAATACTGTTGTGTGTACAGTAGGATGTCTAGAAAATGATACTGAAGAGACCATCCACTCAGTAACCGGTGGACTTTGTGTGACAAGCTGTCATGTTCTGACTTTCTAAAGCAGCTAATATGCTGGTCCTGTCCTGGAGGCAGGGATAGTTGGAGATTTTGATCCTTGATCCTAACTGCACACGAGGTCCACTTCATGCAGTTTGGAACCGTCTTGCTCCCCTCTTGTGGCGAAACACGAACAGCCCCTCTAGTGGATGGGGAACAATGATGTTCCTGCCCCAGGGGCCGTCACTGCCAGAAGGAGTACTCCCTTTAACTCGTGTTAGCATTGAAAATCGACAGGGACAAACCCTATATTCCCCTGGATGGGCACCACAGCTGCTGCAGACAGCAGAGGCATGGGGAAGGGCGGGTCTGTGAAAGATTCGTGAAATCCTAAAGGAGCCCTTGGCCTCTGCAGAGGTCTGCAGAGATCTATCGGGGCAGCCAGATGAATATTGGATGTGCTGGGAGGGTGTCTGCCAAGTGCTGGTTAATGGTAGCCCTCTGGCCCATTTAGGAGAATGTGCAGAAAATTGAGGTTAACAAGCGTGTCCAGTGTGGAGCAGGACTGGGAATTTCTCAGCCATCTGCAAGGGCCTCGATCCAGCTACTTTTTCTCTTATGCATTTTGTACAGGCAGACACTGCCAGGATCAGGCACCGAGCTAACAGTGTAGCTAAGACAGACCTCCTCAGTTTTTAAGTGCTTAAATATTATAATACTCTGTTTTTATTTAAATGATGTAGTTTTCACAGGCAAGAATCTGACTGCACAGTTTTTTTTTTAATTAAAGCACATCCACGCAAGTGACTGATTCATCAACCAATCTGTCTGTCTGGGTATTTCTGTCTTTTAACTGCAAATATGCAAATTGGCATAACTGCGTGGTCAAGATGCTCATGTGCAACGTAATACCGCAAAACCTTCAGATTATTCTCTCCCACCCTCATTATGATGTCGCCCTAGGGAGCTAAGCATTTTTGCGTGTTATAATAAGGATAGCTGATATAATGAAGGTCATTTTAATCAGAGCTAATGTGCTTGGGAGTCAAAATGCAGTAGCCTTACATCAGGGCTAGTACTGCCATGAAGAACCCATGAGGCCCCAGCAGATATTGTTATCTTTGCTAAACTGACTCTAATACGGCCTTGTAATACGGTTTGTCTTTGCGGCAGGTTAACCTTTTCCTGGTGATATCAGGCACACAGAAACGGAGCTGACTGTTTGTGTGTTCAGCTCAGCTTAATACCAGCTCTTCCCTTGGAAACAGGAAAATGAAGTGCCTTTCTCTTTTTATATTTTGGCAAAGCACAGTAGCCTAGACAATAACTAATTCTAAGGCTTCATTTTTTTCCCTAACATTTCAAAACAGAAGAGGCATCTAGAACTCACCAGTAAGAACAGACATTAATAAAAACTTCGGAAGAAGTCAGCAGCCCTCGACACTTCTTTAAAGATGTAAGTTGAAAATTAAATTGGAGCAGGAATTGTGTAATGTTTTAAGACGCATTGCTCCAGAGATGTCCTTTAAATTTAATCTGGTTCTCCAGTCACCAAGGACATGCTAAATAAATCTCTTCTGTTATTGTTAGGCCGGTGTTTTCTCAGTGCGGAGCTGTGGGCGGTTTTTAACTGGTCCTTGTGTTGTGTTCTTATTTTTGTTTTTATTGTTAAATCATCCTATCATGATACTGCTTGTTTAGTAACT